GTCCCCCACATTGCGTCGGGTTAGGGACTCGGGGTGCGGGAAGGTGGGTGGAGTGGGGTGCGGGGTCTACGCAGCCCTCAGCCCGGGCGGGTTTCTGTTCTCACAGGATCATAGACCTGGATATCCAACAGACCCGAATAATGGAATTATTTAATACAGCATCTGTGTAGTTGGGTTTCGTTAGTAGTATTGCCTCTACACACATACAACATACAACAGATACTCGATGGACTTGCCTCAGGACTGGTTAATAAATCCATGTGACCACTTCTCCTGTGAGCAGAACTCGAGGTCTCTGCCCCGCTCCTAAACAGATTGTGATTCGCTGCAGCCAGTCTGGGCTTTGCCCTTGACTTCTTTGGAAATAGTTTCTAGCCTCAGTTCTTGTTTTTTTTTGTCTGGTCCCGGGAACGAACTCAGGACCTTGCACTTTTGAGACAGGCACAGTGCCACTGAGCTACATCCCCAACCCATTCTAGCCTCAGTTGTTGTGCTGTCATGTGAGGTTCATCCTGGAACGCACTAAAGACTACCGTGCTCAGCTTTAGACCTATTGTATTGAGTCCTGATTAAACTTTTTTTGTTTTGATCTGTAAGTAATATGAAAACACTGTACCTTGTACTCAATTATCTGAGTATTAGCGAGTGTGCATTAGTCTTTCTCCAAAATTATCAAAAAAATTTTTTTAAATTACAGCCTCGAGGTAACCGAAAACAAGGTGCATCATTTATCATCACAAAAGCAATCAGAGGTAAATATTGCTTATTTTTCTATGATAAAGTTGGCAGTTTCTCTATATTTCATTCATAACTGTGCTATTTTAGAAAGTTTAGGGATTTTTCTTTTTTATTTGGTACCAACGATTGAAATTGGATCCCTGCGCTTGGGAGGCAGGCGGCCACACCACTGAGCTAAATCCCCAGCCCAAATTAAAGGATTTTGAAGTATGTTCTTTGGACTTCTCAAGGAGCCCAGTGAAACAAAGTAGTGTATATGTTATCTGAGTTTAATTTTACATACATTTATATAAACATACACATATCTGTATATGGATTTTCATGCACACGTGTTTAATGCAGCTTACAGCTAAAGTATAGGAAAGGATTAATCATTATGTGTGTTAGAAGAACTAACATTCAATTTTCATTATCACAGATGCTTTTTCAAAGTTTGAACATTCAGAAAATACAAGTAGTAAAAATTCATTATAGAAAATTTAGAAAATATAGGTAACTGTGAATTAGAATTATTTTTTCTCATTTTACAACCAAAAGATAATCTGTTATGTTTCAGGCTTTTTCTGTTCATATATACCTAGCTGTAAGCACAAAAAATGATTACTTGGTGGTTATTGTTATTTTGTGGTTCTCAAGATTGAAGCCAGGGCCTCTTGTGTGCTAGGCAAGTGCTCTGCCACTGAGTTACATCCCAGCCCTACATAATTATTTTTTGACATTGTATTAGATATTTATTTTAGGTATTGTTCTTATTTATATATCTTTGGTTTAATTTTTATACAAATAGTTTAGTTTTAAAGGTAATTTCTATGACTTCATCTTCATAGTTTAGTTTTAGTTTCTTGGATTAAACTTGACATCTCTAGCCACTTTTATTTTTTTGTAGTTAGGAAGTACTTCAAAGTTCTGATACATAAACTTAGAACTAATATAAACAAATATGTGACCATGTAAGCATTCAGTATATGTATATTATCCTCATTTTTAGTAGTTGTGTTCTTAATGTTTTGTTTTGTAATGACTCAGTCTGCGGTGTATTTTAGATTTTTCATCAGTAAACCTAATTTGAAAATTATTCATAAAGGACAACTGATTTATATTTGGCTTTGCTGTTTTTTTTTGTGTTACAGATCGCTTATTATTCTTACGGCAATACATCTGGTACAGGTGAGACTTCAGTTCATCAGAGAAACAGTGAAAATCAAATACAAACATGTTATTTATAATGTTTTCACTATTGAACCCCAGATCATGATATAGACGCTGCTATTCATTTGAGCCCATTTCTGAGTAGAGATTTCAAATGTTCTGGCCTGAGCTGAAGCTATCTTAGTAGACGTGGTAATTTTTATCGTCTTCGTTGTTATTAGGAGTATTTCACGTAACCCTGCTTCTTCTGATGAGTCCTGGGCCTTATCTTGAATGCCCATGTGACGGGTCTGATGTCCCCATCTTTTGAAAAGCATTTCTTCCTTATTGTTCCATCAGTTCTCTTGTGGTTGGCATTCAGTTGCTGGCAGCAGCAAAGTTTCTTTGGCTTTCATTCTTGGGTGCTTTTTAACCCTTGAAATGTGAGGTATCTACTCAGGCATGGTGTTGCTTTTCAGCTTTAAAATTAGAAACTTGTGGGGATTGTTTTATAGGCTTTTGTACCACAGGTTGCTTTTTCCTAACCCCAAAAGCCCCCAGGTCACACGGTCTGTGGAGGAAACCTTTCCTTGTGTCTTGCAGCCATGCAGTGTGTGTCTGCTTGTAGTGGCTGTGTGTGTCTCTGTCCATACAGTGATCATTTCAGCTCGTTTTTCAGGATCTGGTGTGTTATAGGGTGGAGATGAAGGGAGATAGGAGGGAGGGGACTGGAGCAATTCTCAGCCTTGGTTGTGCGAGTGGAAGAGGCGTGTGCACATGTGGCCGTGCTGTGATCCCTTTGTTTCTGGCAGGTGGAGGGTGCAGGCTGCGTCCTCTGTGGGAGCCTCCAGGCCAGGCCTCCTGGAAACTTTCTGTCTCTCTCCTTTAATTGTTCACCTTGATCATGGTGCCCTTTGTGAGTGCATTGTGGGTTATTACCTGATCTTCCTCAGGACATACTGTTTTCAAAAACTGTCCTTCATTTAGCTGTGTTGAGTTTGATATAATTAACCCTGGCTGTTTTGGGGCCAGTATTTGTTACAGATGACTTCTTTTTGGTACTAGGAATTAAACACGGGGCCTTCACACTCACTACATGGCTTCACAGCTGCTCAGCTTCACACTTACCCTTGCTCTTTTTGAATTTTTATTTTGAGACTGGGTCTCACTACATCACTAAGTTGCTTAGGCTGGCTTTGAACTTGAGATCCTCCTGCCTCAGCTACGTAACGCATTGGGATTACAGTCAAGCACCACCATGCTCAGCTGGTTTTTTCTTCCTTTTCTTTTCTTTTTTACAGTTTTTTTCCCCAAAACTGGTTACAGTGGTTTGTGCCTGTCATTCCAGCTACTACTCAGGAGGCCAAGGCAAGAGAATTACCAGTGGTAGGCCAGCATGGGCATTTCAGTGAGACCCCATCTCAAAAACAAAAAGCAAAAAACAAAACACCACAAAAACCCTTGTATTTTATTTAATTTTCAAATGTTGTAACATACCGAAAATTGACGGTAATAAAACTGTCTGTGACTTGTATGAGTATTTGAATTAAGGCAACTTGTTGCTATTTTGCTCTGTAGTTTACAATACTCCTTTTTCTCGTTTTACGGAAGTTACTACATCTCAAGTACTCCTGCTCCATATTTTTGTGGCACTTTTCCTTTCAGAGGCATTATCATCCTGATTCATGCATGTTTCATGTTTTTTTTATATTTCTGTAACTGTCTTAATGTAAATATTGTGTGCTCTAAAAATGAGCCTAAATACACCAAATATAATTTTTTAGTAGTATTTTGTGTCTTTCTTTCTTCTTCTTTTTTTTGAGATACTATCTTGCTCTGTAATTGAGGCTGGCCTCAAATTTTCAGCGATCCTCCTGCCTCAGCCTCCTGAGTGCTGGGATTATAGGCCTGTGCCACCACACGAGGCTACTATTTTTTCCTGATTTCTGTAACATATTTTTGCTTCTTTTCATGTGATCATTTTCTCAGTCTTCTTTTCCATCTGTTTCCTTGACCTCTTTGGCATCAGTCCTCATGTTTCTTGTATCTCCCACCTCACTGCATACCGGCAGTTTCCCCGAGTCTTTTGTGGACAGCTTGTAGTGATCTTAGGTGCGAGTAATCCTGCATCACCCCCTTGCATATAGTGCAGTGTGGGCTTTTGATTTTTGTCATAGGCGATTTCATTTACATCGCACAGCCAGGCATTCTAGGCAGAGATGAGAGGCCTGGGAGGCTCTGGACCCTGGGGAGGTCCTTGTCCTTCGTTGCTAGAGTGGCCCTTGGGCACCCTCCCGAGGTGGGGCTCCCACTCAGCCCCATCCTCGCTGGCCCAGCTGCTCACGTCTTCTGTCTACCAAGTCCCGTTTGTGGATGTTGTCTTTTTCCTTGCCCAGTTCTAGGTTTCAGTTACCTTCTCATCACTGGTGCTTGGAAATTTCTTTTTCGTTTGTTTAATGCCAAACTAGAACTTGTGTTGGTTGAAGTTGAGCCAGAATTTTGAGGTGATTGTAGGAATAAGCCCTCTTTGTTCTGTAATTGATATCCTAGATAACTTCTTTTTCCCCAGTGCATGCTGGGCAAGTGCTCTGTTACTGAGCTGCAGCCTTTAACATTTTTTTTTTAAAGGTTTTCTTTTGAAACAGGGTCATGCTAAGTTGCCCAGGCAGGCCTTGAGCTTGTGATCCTCTTGCCTCAGCCTCCCAAGTAGCTAGGATTATGGGTGTGAGCTACTGTGCCTGTCCTGGCTTTTTCCTGGAAAGGACTTAACATTTATACCTTTGAAACTCTGTCTTCTAGAAATAGAGAAATATCCATGGTAAAATTTCAGATATCAAGTAAGTAACTTTTGGTTTAGTGTTTGATAACATTCAGATTTTTAATTCTAATGGGAGAAAAAAATCTATCTCTTCCTGTAGATGCATGTGCTATTTTGTTTACCTACTTATTTATGGCTTTCATGCTTAGATTTTTAAGCAAGCTAAAGTGTTGTGGTTCGTTTCAGCCCTGTACCTTTTTTGCTTCCTGATGGCCTGGTCCGCTTGGTGAATAAACAGATAAACTGGCATTTGGTACTTGCAAGGTAAGGTCATGTAAAATTAATATAATGCGTTTCTGTCTCAGTTGGCTTTTAATCGTTATTTTGAGCATTCATTTAGGGGTCTTTAAGACTTTCATTCTCAGCTTTTATCCTGTATAAATTCTTTGTTGCATATGATCAGCGTTGCCTACAGATAATTACTCAAGCTACACTGAGTCATTTTTGTGCTTTTTTGCCTATGTAGGCATCTGATTATAAGGTTGAAAGATGGATAATTAGGAACTAGTAAAAGGCAGAGCAGAATATAAATTCAAAAGGTCTGTCTGTAGAACCCATTCTGTCAGTCCCTAATAAATTGCTTCAGCTACTGAAGGCCAAAGACGAGATGACGGTTTCCTTAGGCAACAAGAGTTTTTAATCTTATTATTAATAAACAAAATGATTTCATGTGCCCTATCTTGCCTCAGAGAAAAAGCCAGAGATGCTCTTTGTAAGAAATGTTGATAATGAAACAGATGTAAGTATAAAACAAGCCATATATATGTTGACATAATAATGTTAAATAATAACATGCAAAGAAATGTTTAATCCTTTGAAAAAAGATGGATAGTTAAAGTCAAAAATGTGAAAAATTATTTCAACTTTTTAAAATAATTTAATCCATAGTGAAGATATTAAATGAGTTGCTTTTGGTTCGGGGTTTACAATACAGATGTTCACAATGGGTTTGTTTCCCTTCTTTTTTTCCCTGTGACAGCAACGGGAAGCTTCTGGCTGCTGTTCAGGATCAGTGTGTGGAAATCAGGTAACTGGTAATATTGTTTGTCTGTGAGGGTTTCTTTGAGAAAAACTCTACGTGATGGAAAGGAACTAAGTTTTTAATCTATACATAGGCAGCGTATTTAAAATGATTTGACTACTGACTCACTTACTTTTGTGTAGTGTCGAAAACCAGCTTACAGATGATGCTTTCTCGAGTTTGCTTGTATTTCTCCTTCCCCAGATCTCTGCGGTCACCTGCATAACTCACTTTCTCAGTGAGTAAGGTGCCTCTGGAGCTCCGGAAGTTGCTCCCTTTTGACCAGTTACTATGGGAGCCAAACCTGCTCGGGAAGGAGCAGGAAAGAGCAAGCCACATTTGCTCAGCTGGCCTAAGGCTGTAGATCAGACATGGGTGTGTAAGCAGTCCCAGTCACAGTTAGTTATGCCCACCGTGCTGTCTGCCCAAGACGCCCGGTCCTTCACATACTCCCAAGACCTGGCCAGGCAGGAGGATTCCAAGTTCAAGCAACTTACTGACTCAGACCCTGTCTCAAATATAAGAGGGGCAGGATGCGGATGTAGCTTAGTGAGAAGGGCCAAGATTTAATCCCTACTACTTACAGCAAGAAAGAAAAAGCCCAGAGGTGAGGCCCTGGGTTCAATCCCTAGTACCACAAAAAATTAAAATACAAAAGCAAGTCTTCTCTAAGTTGGGCTTTCCATGTATTTTATTTTTAAAAATACATCAATTATGAAAGAAATAGCAGTAATAGCAACTAACTCAGAAAAAGGAGACAGGAGAAGACTGGTGAAGGTTTTTTAGGTTATGCCTTTGAGGGTGGAGATTGACATTTAGACCTGTGAGGGAAAGTATGACCAAGAATTTCAAGGAATTGGCTAATGAAAATTCGATGAAAGAGTCCTTTGTGAAAGCTTTAAAATGTGTAGCATAAAGATTCCTGTGTGGATGGCGCCTTCTCTCACAGATTGGCTGAGAATAGTCCTTTAAGCCCCGTAAACCGACACAGTTCTCTGTTGTTATCCTCAGCGCAGAGATGGTGCCATGGCACTGCCCCTTCCACCCTGGCAGCACGCGGTGGGCGTGTAGGTTTTGCTCTTTCCCTCACTTTATTGTTTTTTTTTTTTTTTTTTTTTTTTTTTTTT